CGCGAAGCAGGAAAACAAAGAGAGTCAAACCCCTCAGAAAACAAAGGCGGGGCCAGTGAATTCTCACCAACAGGGAGTGGGGGCTTCTTTTTATACAGGTGTTTAGTGAGGAGGGGGGGGGGCATGAGCTGAGGAAGTTCCTGCCCCGGGGATCATCACGATATTCATGAAGGAGTCAGTATCTGTGTGGGGATTCCAGGGGAGGAGCCGGTGTCTGTATGGCCTTCTGTCTGGCACCCTGACCTGTTAGGAATTCCAGGGAGGGACCATTATCTCCATCACCATCTGCCTTGCAGGGGCATGCATTGGCTCCTGAGCTTCTCTTCGACCTAACAGTGCTGTAGTCAGGAAAAGCCAATCCACCTCTGGATATGTTGATGGTTCCAAAAGAATGAATCACTGTCGCCCTGGAGTAGAAAGAACCCCATGTAATCAACCTACTGTCAAGTAGTGGGCTACTCTCAAGGGAGAGTACCGCATCAAGAGTTCATTGTCAGTCTCTTGATGTGGCTAAGGACTAGAAGAGCCATGGTGAATGACAGACTATGAGCTCACAGGACAATCAAAAGCAGTAATCACAAACCTAACATTAATTCTACGCTTGATTTAACATTCACAAGTCATACGACAGGCACCTTTAGAATTCCCATTTCACAGATGTAAAAAAAATGAGTCTGAGAGTAGCTAAATATGTTCTCGGTTCCATAACATCAACCACAAACAAAAGGTCAGCCCTGGCTCTGACTGGTTTTGCTCAGTGGGTAGAGTGTCAGCCTGTGGACTGAAGGGTCCCAGGTTTGATTCCAGTCAAGGGCATGTACCTTGGTTGCGGGCACATCCCCAGTAGGAGGTGTGCAGGAGGCAGCTGATCGATGTTTCTCTCTCATCGATGTTTCTAACTCTATCCTTCTCCCTTCCTCTCTGTAAAAAATCAATAAAATATGTTAAAAAAGAAGAAGAAGAAGAAGAAGAAGAAGAAGAAGAAGAAGAAGAAGAAGAAGAAGGAGAACAAGGTTGGACCCATCACACACTGGTTAAGGGAGGACCACTAGCTTCTCCAGGTGGAGACACCTCAACTTGGACAGCCATACCAGGACACTGTTAGGTCGGAGAGAGCCCAGGATCGGATACATGCAGACATGTGATGAGACAATGGACTTCTTGCTAAGGAAAGAATGGGGGTGTGGGGGAGCAGAGATAAAAGAAATGAGTCTCAGGTAGAATAGAAGAGAGAGTTCTTAGCTGGAAAGAATGTCCAGTAGTTATGAACGCTACTAGGAAATCAAGCTTAGGACTGAAAATAAATGTTAGATTTGTCAGCGGGAAAGCCAGGAGTAACCTCATAGTACAGATTCCGCAGGATGGTGAGGAGGACCTTGTAGTATTGAGGAGTAATTTGGAACTGAAAAAAATAGAGACATACAGTATTGGACACGTATAGGCACTTCTCTATCTATCTATTGTTAGGTTGGAGGGAGCCCAGGATCGGATACATGCAGACATGTGATGAGACAATGGACTTCCCCTGGAATTTTTCCTCCATTGGGTCCCAAACTTTGCTCTCCTAGCTAAGCCCCTATACCAAGCTGCTAAAGAAACACCAGTGGGTCCCCTCTCCTCACCCTCCCTCGTTCGTCAGGCTTTCTCTAAGCTCCGGGATACCCTTCTGGCATCCCCACACCCCCTCTCCCGGACACCTTTAAGCCGTTCCAACTATTTACTGATGAAAGACAGGGAATGGCTATTGGGGTCCTCACCCAGTCCCTAGGGCCAGCCTTTACCCCCGTGGCCTACCTGTCCAGACAGCTTGACCCCACGGTCCGGGGATGGCAGCCCTGCCTCCGGGCTCTGGCTGCAGCTGCCATTCTCACCAAGGAAGCCCAAAAAATCTGCCTCCAACAACCCTTACAGGTCTTCTCCACCCACAGGTTACAGGATCTCCTGTCCCACCGATCCCTATCTCTCCTTGCCCCCTCTCGCAGGCAGGAACTCCATCTTCTGTTCCTCGAAAATCCTGACATCACCCTGGCCCAGTCCCCAGCCCTAAACCCTGCCACTCTCCTTCCCGCTGCCTCCACCCTACCTGCGGCAACGCATTCCTGCCCCGAGGTCGTCGAGGCCCTCACTCAGCCTCGGGCAGGACTCTCAGACTCTCCTCTCTCTAATCCTGATTTAACTCTGTTTGTGGATGGAAGCTCCTGCCTGGACCCCCAGGGACGTCGGAAAGCCTCCTACGCGGTAGTGACACCCGAGCGGACCCTGGAGGCAGCCCGACTCCCAGAGGGCACCACCTCTCAAAAAGCCGAGCTCATCGCACTGACATGCGCCCTACACCTGGCCAAAGGGAAGAGAGTAAACATATATACAGACTCCAAATATTCCTTTCTGATAGCCCATTGTCATGCTGTTATCTGGAGGGAGAGGGGCTTTCTCTCTACTAAAGGCTCACCTATTATCAATGCTAGACTCATAACCCGCTTACTTGATGCCTTACAGCTTCCCTCCCAGGTAGCCATCATGCACTGCCGAGGCCATCAGACGGACTCCTCGCTGGTTACGCGGGGAAACGCCCAAGCAGACGCGGTAGCCAGAGGCTTAACTCAGGGTGAAGGGTCCCCAGCCCCGGTCCTGTTTCTTTCTCTTCCCTCCATCTCCCCTCAATATACAGAAGAAGAGAGAAACAAATTCCTGCAGCGGGGAGGCTCACCCGGTCCTGAGGGATGGATCTTTTTAAATAACAAAATTGCTCTCCCTCGAGCCCAGACAGGGGCCATTGCCCAGCAGATCCACCGGTCTTTGCACATTGGACCACTGGCACTTTGGAAGTTCCTCGAACCCCTCTTCACCTCGCCCACACTGCGAGAGGCAATCACAAGTGCCTGCTCCTCCTGCCCCACGTGTGCAGCTGTCTCACCCCAGGGAGGGATGCGCCCCAACTTTCCCACACATCAAATGAGGGGACACCTCCCAGGGCAGGACTGGCAGGTAGACTTCACTCACATGCCTCCCCACAAAAAGACCAGGTACCTGCTTACCATGGTAGACACTCTGACAGGGTGGGTAGAGGCCTTTCCCACCCGCAAGGAAACTGCTGAAGTGGTGGCTGAGACCCTAATAGCACACATTATCCCAAGGTTTGGCCTCCCCACCTCCATTCAATCAGACAATGGCCCAGCCTTTATATCAAGGGTCGTCCAGCAGGTTAGCACCTCTCTTGGCATCTCTTGGAAACTACACATACCCTACCGACCACAGTCATTGGGTAAGATTGAGAGGATTAATGGCCTCCTTAAGGACCATCTAACTAAACTCTCTCTAGAAATTCGCAGCTCCTGGCCGGACCTCCTGCCCATGGCTTTGACAAGACTCCGGGCTACACCAAGGAGCCCCACCTTCTTAAGTCCTTTTGAACTCCTATATGGGAGACCTTTCTTGCTCAACCATCGTCTCCCTATCGATCCTCCTCCCCTGGGTAATTATCTTCCATATTTGTCCTTAATCAGGCAGCTGCTCCGAGAACACGCTGACAGGTTCCTGCCCAAGCCAGAACCAACTGACCAGGACTCCGGGGGACCAGCCCTTCATCCTGGTGACTCGGTCCTCCTTAAGAATCTACATCCAAAAGCCTTGGAGCCGAGGTGGACGGGACCTCACATCGTGATCCTTACAACACCCACGCGGCCAAGCTGCTTGGCGACCCATCGTGGCACCACCTCTCCAGGCTCAAGAGGACCCCGAAGCAGCATGACTTCTATAAATGTGATGTATTGGGCCCCACTAAGGTCCGCCTTAGCCGCCCTCCCCCTCCTTCTTCTCCTCCCGGCCCTGAGCAACCTACACCAACCCCCACCCGCTTATGTGTGGAGGTTCAAGGTCCGTGAAACCTACTACAAGAACGGCAAACAAGTCACCCGGCAGGTAGGATCTCAGGACTGCCCTCTAGTGGGATGCCAGACAAGGATACGGATGACTGTCGACATCCGGTCAGTGTACAATGGTGGCCGGCCCTATGCCTGTTTTGCTTACGACCAAGAGGACCCAGACAGGTGTAATCAAGATGTCGACACCTGTGGGGGTTGCCGCTGGAGTGGCTGTGTTGTCAATGATGCCTACAACGGTGGCTCCTTTATCTGGGAGAATGGGGCCTTCCACATCATAATCCGGGATCCCTGGGACCAGAGATGGGTTACGGGGGTTGTGGGAAAGCTATACTTAAGTAGTTGGAGCTCAACCCCTTCAGGGACCATTTACATCTCCCGGGAATATGTTCTGGCCCAAGAGGCCCGAGTCCAGGTCTCCAACAGCATCCTACAGGCCGAACAGTCCCTTAAAGGGAAGCTGCCTGACGCCCCCCGGGTAGAAGTCCTGTCTTCTTGGCTCCAACTTA